TGATGAAAATTACAGGCCTCTCTCATCTTTTTAAGTGGGAGAACTTGCACAATTGGGGGCTGACTAAATACTTTTTTGCCCCACTGTATTTCGTTATCTGAGAAGTGTGCATGTAAAAGGTCAGCCGTGATGCAGATTTGTCTGGACTGAACTGCAATGACTCGTTGTCACTCTGCTTTCAGCTAAAAGGCCAACGTGAATTAATTAATCAGTCAAAAGGCAGATTAATCAGCCAAAAGTGCTAACTGATGGCAAATCCTTGTAATTGTTTCTGGCACCCCACATGCTTTCCTGGGAGGCGGGGGGGCTTGTGGCAGTTACCCCATCATATCTCTGCTTAGTATTTAAGTTCATCATACGGGCTTCTGAATCACAGCAGATCAGAGCAGATGCTCTGATTTTCCTAAGAGTCCTGAAAGGCCTTTTTGGCTCATTCATCGGAACCGCTGCCCGAGGCCTCCCTAATGCTGATGCTCACCGGTGATGGCTGCCGAATGGGCTGTTCCAATGTCAGCCCCCACAATGGCTTCTTCGCTCAAGGGGGCTGAGCAGACAGGACTGAAGACTAGCACTTCCTCTACCTGGTCAGCGGCAGTGAGGGGTTCCCCTTGGGGCACAATCCTGTCCTGCCCCAGCTTGTTATACCTGGTGGGAGGAAAGAGTAAGGGCCAAGCTGCCATCTCAACCTTGGACCCTCTGTGGCCTGCTTGGCTCTCAGCTGCCAGGAGAACTGCCAGGCTCTCAGTTGCCAATTCAAGCTCTGCCAACGGCTGGGCCCCCAATCAAGGGGGCTTTCTGAGCCTCTGGAGTCCAAACTGAGTCCCAAGATGGTCCTTGCCTCTCCTGGAAGACAGGCGGTGGGGTGGTGCTGTGACACTTGCCCTACCTGTTGCTGCCACAGGCAAGAATCTGGTTCTTGGATGTCAGGAGCATGGAGGCATCAATGCCACACAAGACCTTCTGTGCTTCGTAGCCGGAGGGAAGTGGCACCAGCTGCGGGGAGCTGTGACTCTCCTGGGTCCCCAGCCCCAGGCGCCCTAGGAGGCAGGAGGAAAGAAAGGGGGCTGGTTGGAGGAAGCTCCTACCACCTCCCCATGGGTGAGCCTCAGGGGGACTCTGAACAGGGAAGAGGCAGGGGAGCAGCCGCCCAGAGATCCTTGGTGCTTTGAAGCCCCAGTGCTCACCGTTGTCCCCCCTGCCCCAAGTGAAGACTTCCCCTTCGCTGGACATGGCCAGGACGTGCGATGCGCCACAGGCTGCTTGTGTAATCTCATATCCCAGCAGGGCCTCCACAATCTTGGGCTGCAAAGAGCGTGTCAGAAGAGCATAAGCCAACAGCACTCCCCCTCCAGCTGCTGTTCCCTCCCGCACCATCTACACCCGAGTGAAATGTGAACTCCTCCACTGAAGCTGCAGGTGAGGTTGTCTCCAGGCAGAAGGAGGAGGAATCTGGAGGTTGGCAACTGCATGGAGGCTGTTAACCCTCCAGTGCCGCTTTCTTCCACCACGTGAATCAAGGCAGGGGATGCTGGGAGGCTCCCAAGTGGCTTCCCTTTTGGACACACTGGGGCTGGCTTAACTTTCCAGCAAAGGGGCAGATCAGGACCTTCACCCATGGCTGGGGATCCCAGGACTCATCCTCCAGGCTGAATCCGAACGCACTCCCCTCCCCGCTGATCTTTGTTACACCTCAAGGAAGCCCGTAAGAAAGCCACACCCAGACGTTTCTCCCAGCCCACCTGAGAGGCTCCCCGGCCCTCTCCCCATCCTTCCCCTGACGGCCACGGGGCCTGTCTTCCTGAAACACTCCAAACAGGGTGCTCCTTGGAACAGGGCACTCGCTCAAGGCAGGCACCCTGATGAGGGCCGGTGGCACCTCCAGCTCTCAGAGATCCAGAGAAAGCTAGCGATAATCCCTCTTTCTCCTGCTTCCAAGAAAGCTAGAAGGATGTGTCCACGCAGCCACCAGGAAGCTGAGCTCAGTCTTTTCCTCTTCAGCCTCCTGGAGCATCTCAGCAACCCTGTGGACAGGCTTCTGCTGTGTGGTTTCCTCATTTTACAGATGGGGGGCAGGGGGTGGATAAAATGGGAACATGAGGCTTCGCCAGCAGCCCTGAGCCCACCCCACACCCTTCCCCAGGAATGCCCAGTATCCAGAAGCTTGAGCCAGGGCAGAACCAACCTGGCTCACGTCCATGAATGTTCCATGTCCTAAGCAGCCGCTGCTTCCGCTGCCAAAGGTCAGGACGATCCCTCGATCTGTGGGGACAAGGAGGAGATCCA